TTTATTTAGTTATCAGGACTAATTTGTGCTACAGATTTATTGCTCCCTGGTCTTGTTAATATGAATTCTGGCTCCAGAGCAGACTGAAGTTGTTTCGCGGCAATTTTGTTTCCTGACTCTGTCGAGCGTTTTTCTTTAGTGTGGGTATTAAGGCTGGGGGTTTCGAGTTTGGGTGTGTGGGGTGTTGTCTTCCTGTTGGTACAACTGTAGCCTCCCCGCAGACGTCCGTTGGGGTTCGTTTGTCACGCATTCATTTCTTCCAAACGGACCGTGGAGGAGAAATGAATGCGTGACAAACGAACCCCAACGGACGTCTGCGGGGAGGCTAGTACAACTGCGACGTCTCGGAAAGTATTATTCGTACGTTGGCCGCCAGATTTCTCCATCACTCAGCATAGGAGCGCGGCAAAATTAATGTAAACTGGATACTATTTTTAGTCCCCAAAGGTTTCTTTTGTTAATATCAAAACAACCTTACATAAGCGACTGCCCTGTACGGGAAGATGTTAAAAAAGTGGTCGCTTATAGTGGAAGGAGTCGTCTACAAGAATCAAACAACAGGGGGTCTCTTACAGGAAGACGAGGTCCACGAACATTTTCTCATCTTCTTTTTGAAAGTCGAAGATTAGATTCGTGCAATAATAAGTTACGATATTAATTTGTAGTTTCACGTTATCACTGAAAGTTCTTCATAGGAGCCCTCTGATGGTTAGCCTCCCACGCAGACGTTCTTAGTTCTTAAGAGTGGTTGTCAGAGAAAACGGGCAAAATGTTAAAAATGTCAACGGAAGGGGCTCAACAGAATAGGCTAATACTAACATCATATATAGCTTTGGTGGAGTGATCGACAAATATAACAAACATAAGATCTTATCCGGAGGGGGTACTCCCTTAAATAGGCTATATAGGTATGTGCTGCGCCAAAGGGTATGGTTTTTAGCCGTTTTGGTCTGAAATAGGGTATCAATTTTGACCATTTTGGTTTGAAATAGGGTATGGTTTGTGCACCGTAGTCTTGAATTGGGTATGTTTTTTGAAAGAAGTTACTTCTTTATCATTAGGCGATAAGACCATTTCCCTTTTAATGTTTACGCCAACCGTGTACGTGCCGTAACAGCTTGTCAGCTCTGAAATAGGGTAGAGAAAATCAAAGATTTTGGCCTGAAATAGAAGAGGGTATACACATAAACCAGTTAATGCGCTAATTGGCTCAGGGCCACCTTGTTGTGGTGGCGGACTGTCTGGTCTTTGTCTATTGATTATTCACTTCTGAATTTCGACATTTAACTACCCTTAAATCCAGTATTTTCTCATTTTTCCATAACTTTTAACATTTGCCCTTCAACCTTTTATTGATTACAAATGTTCTAAAAATCAATAAAAAATTCTCAAAAACTCATCGTTCTAAGAACCTCAGGATAAGTGATTTATTTTAAAACTGAATGACATTTTGACGAGATTTTCAAGGAAATGTGTTCACGTATAATATGAACAAGGTGTTAACATTTAAGCACGATGAAGCCGGCACGATTTTTAGCACTATGAATGTGTGCCATTTAAACGTGAAGAGAGGCTCGTTAACACCTTTAGGATAAAACGCACTCGTAAGTGATTGTAACCTCGCAGTGGACCTACTCCATGCACGGTTACAGAAAGCTTGTGCAAAAAATGCTTTGTGTTAACTGATATTTGCACTGATCTGCTGTGATGTCCATTTGACTTCAATTGAGTCATGATCAGTTCATCGGTATATATAACGAGTTGCTGTATGCTGTTAAACAAATCATGTCGTTCAAAACTTGCCTTTTTGCATAATCAGCCGTTCTCCGTCTTAGGTAGATTGCAAAACGTATTTTCTTTTTGTTATTCTAAATGGCTTCTGTCAACTTGCTCTTAATATTAGGGCAAATACTCAGGGGCACCCAACGAGGATATAGTTCAAAACCACTTAACATAGCATTGTTGAACGTATTTTAGTATTCAAACGGTAGATATAGGCATATTTTTATCCCCTAAAAACTTTTCATCTGTTCGGATTTCCTAGCTGAAAGTCTACTGATCCGAAAATTATAGGGATAAAAACTTACCTTCTCGAAAATTTTAGCCAGGAAAAGGCTCTCGAAAATTCTAGGTGGCCTTTTTTAGTTTCAAAATCCGTTAAAAATGGGTAATTATACCATTTTGTAGATGTTCGAAAATCTTAGGAGAGACAGGCAAGCAAGAAATTTTACAACAAATGCTCCGAAAATTCTAGATCTCAAATCGTCTTCCGAACAGATATTTTCCCGAAAATTGCCGTTGGGTGCCCCTGAATACTATGATGGAAAACTGTAGCTGCAACCATAAACACTAACTCAGAGACTTAACGACTTAGTGATTTAAATATACGATAACTGCGTGACTTTATGCAGTAAAGTTAAAATAGAATTAACAAGAAAAAATTCACTGTATATTTATTTTACAATAACAAGTAACACTAATTCTAAAAAGAAATTAACTAGCTTCGTATCGAAGATTGTCTAAAGAAATGGAGCTGAAAGTCAAGATTGCCGGCGGTGAAGCAATGCGTGAGCAAGTTCGATGCTCTGCGTCTTACGATCGTACTTTGAACTACTGTAGACAGAGAAGTCATTTTTTGAAAAATTTATTTGAAAACCCAAATGTTTCTGTACTCATCAAATGAAATTCGCACTACAATTCGTGCCTCATTTGTCCGTACACTCAACTAAAATAAGACCAAAGCTACCTATACACTACAAAGCTGTCTTGAATCTGAGCGCATTTCCTAAGATAGAGCGGAGCGCCACGCTCGCGCAAAGCGCGCGAGCGTAGCCCAATACCTAAGAAAATGTGGTGATCTACCCATCCGAGAAATTTTGGTAATCACGTGACCGTACGCCCGTCCGTCCACACCACGGGCATACCAACGTAACAAATCTCAGTGAACAGGTATGGCAATTGGCAAAGCAAATGCAACTCGAGATTATTTTGGCGGGAAATCGCTTAGCCACCCGCGTCTTGTGAAGCAGAGACAACTATAAAAGAGTCAATAAAGACGAAAACGGAAACCGGAAATTGCTTCTGTATCCCTCTTGTCTAAGGTATTAAGCTTAGATTAATTGTGATGTCCACAAATTTGTGGGCGACAGGCCAGCGAAGCTCAACTAGAAAAAGAGCGGCAGTGACCTAGAGCGAGAGAAAAATAACAAAGGAGACATTTTCTTTTGGAAGAACAAGAATATTTGAAGCGGTGGTGAAAAAATGAGAAATACAAGCTGCCATCAAGGTGAAAATGAGCGGCAGTAGAACACATTCGACATTTCCTCCATAAAACGTGGAAGTTTCTGAAAGTTTCACGTTGTAGTCGTGCAAAGCAACGGCAAATAAGTGTACAAAAAAAAGTGTGCTGCACGTGTTAAGTTGCTTTTTTGCTAATTTGACCCATTGTTGTTTTTCTCGTTGCCTTCGCCGCTTAGCAGTACATGATTTTATATTTTGTTTGAGCAAACTATAAATATTATCGTGAGCCCTGGTTAAATCTATATAATTTTATTAGCTTGAATTTAACATCAACTTGACTGAAAAGTCACTAACACAATTGTAATTGATACATTTTTCCTTTTAAAACAATTTTCTCTACTACAATGTACAAAATGTTCCTGAAGTACCGGGCTTAATGCACTCACTCGGTTATTCTACTGAGATCTCCGTCTCGAAGAAAACAAGGCTGAAGTCCTCCAACGCAAGTTTCATGAAGTTTGTCGCTTGATCTTTTCACTTTCCCTCAAAGCGACAACTGAGTATTTTCTCAACGTACTTCTACGTAATTTTTATATTTCTATGTTTTACCGGTGCATTTTTTACTTGCAAGAGAGGAGATTTGCTCAACTTTTTGCTGCGCTAGCTTTTTGCGCATGATAACAGCTCCATGAAAGCACGATAACCAATAGGCTAGACATACAAAGGTACGACCTGACGCTCAATTAAGGCACGGTACGTCAAGGCTCGAAAAAAGCAAAACAAAGCCACAATCTATGCACCTTCAATGGATTTAGGCTCGATGCACGATTATCGGCTTCACTATACACGATGACAAAATTCGATCTATCTTGTTACGGCTGTGATCACCAACACCGTGCACTTAGCCATTTGGCGATACTTTTAGCAAAGCCTTTGACTTGAATCTCAGACATTACTTTACCGCAGTTTTTTCAAACCTTTGACTCGATCTCAGGACGCCTTTTGATAGGGGTACAAAGGCTAATCAAATAACACCTTTCACGTGCGCCAAAGGTAAAGGTTAAAGGCGTAAAAAAACGGCCTTTATCGCCGGAAGACCCGCCTGAAGACGTCATCAAAGACAGTTTTTTGTCGCGCGTCAAAGGCGTGCAACGGTCGTCTTTATCGCGCGTTGGACTGAGCCTTTGACGTTCGGTAAATCCGTTACCGTAAAATTCCGAAAATAAGCCCTGGGGCTTATATTTTTGGAGGGGCTTATTTTTGGAGGTACTTATATTCGGAGGGGCTTATGTATGGAGGGAAATTTGCGTTTCAAAATCGTTTGGGCTTGCTTGTAGTGGGAAGGAAATTTACCATTTTTGCTTTGTTTTACTTTGTATTTGAGGGCAAATTCAAAGTACAAGCCCCCCGGGGGGCTTATATTCGGAGGGGCGATTTAACGGAGGGTTTTTTGCGTTACGATTCTGGGGGGCTTATATTTGGAGGGGCTTATACATGGAGGGGCTTACTTTCGGAATTTTACGGTATTTCATCCCGTGATTTTCATTTGGCTCGGCAAATCATTTCAGTCATCGCTAGCATTCAGCCTAACCACAGGACCTGACAGGTCGTACTCTGCAAATTAATGAGGATTGGTACAGAAAACAGGTATCTCCTTAAGAGACTCTGGCTTGTTAGATTAGGCATTTTCCTAAATAAAACATTTGCAGTCTACCACTTACGATGATCAACAAATGCAATATCATTATTTAAGAATTAAACTACTTGGTGCTGAAAATAAATGAAGGAAACTGGCCAGTTTTGACATTAGTTCCATTCTTAGAAGAACCTGAAGAGATAAATGAAAACTGGATTCCTTGAACCTCATCAGATTCTTTTCCATTAGTCACACTCCAAGATAATGGGCCTTTGATAAGAGATACAATCTCATACGTTTTACCCTGCTCAAGGCAAACAGGGTGATCAAACATGACATCAAATCCATAGGAACCATTTGTCTCATCTTTCTCGGAGGAATACGTACCCGTCAGTTTTACCAGAGAAAAACCGCTATTTGCCACATCTTTCACTTCTACTGAAACTGTGTATTCGCCACTTTCACTACCAAAATGCTGCACTCCGTGTAATGTAATAGCTTTGCTGACAGTTAGATTGAGGGCATCAGCATTACCACTAGTGTAGTGCCATGAACCATTAGGCATATCGGGCGGGCTTACTTCTGTAAATCTGTAAATTCGATGATACCCAGGCTGTCTAGGAGAATACATAAATGGTAAAGAAGACTCTAAACCACCACCACCGTAGTATTTCATCATAAAAACAATCTGTTTTTTAGTTAGAATATCACAATCCAAAACCGAAGCAAACTCCTTCTGCGACATCACTGGAAACCTTATTGCTTTCACAATTTCCTCTCCAAGAATCCTTCTTTTGACCTTGCCATCAGGGATTAGTCTTTACCTTTCCACTTCTTTAGTGACCCAGCGATCAACAGCTTTAATAAATCCACTTCCTTTACATTCAATCTCTCCCTTTTCACGACAGACTCAACTACAAATCTCTCAAGCGTGACAAATTCTTCCGACGTCAGAGCTTTCTCGGTTTGCGCCTCAATTACTTCCCAGCACCGTTCTTCCAAATCTTTATCCTCAAATTTCTGAGCTTGTGGCAGAACAGAGAACACATTCGACGCCGCTAGATGTTCCTGAAGATATTTAGTGCACTTATCGGCGAGTGAAGGTACCAGATATTTCTTTGCTAAGTAGAGAACTTGCATGACATTACTTCCGCTCAAGTTCACTTCATCGCTGTACAGAAAACGAAACAACTCTAAGAGACTCTCATAATCACAGTCAGGCAATTGAATAGTAGCTGCAGTCTCCGCCATTTCACCGTAGAACATGGCATAGAAAACAGGACTGCTGATTGCCAGTATAAACTTGTGAGCTGGAATGCACTTTTGACTCTTCCTCCTTTTACTTTCGTTATGCGGGGCAGGAACTACGAACTTCACATCACTTAATAATTCGTTATTGAAAACAAATTTGGTTCTCTCGCTGATAGTTGAACGTTTTGTCTGCCAGTTATCATCAAGTGTAGCCATTGCAGCGATTGCAACTTTCTGATTACAAGGTATACGAAGTTTTCTCTCTCGTCAACCTCAAGTACGCTACGTTTCTCCATCTAGTACCCAGGGTCTTCTCGGNTCAATTACTTCCCAGCACCGTTCTTCCAAATCTTTATCCTCAAATTTCTGAGCTTGTGGCAGAACAGAGAACACATTCGACGCCGCTAGATGTTCCTGAAGATATTTAGTGCACTTATCGGCGAGTGAAGGTACCAGATATTTCTTTGCTAAGTAGAGAACTTGCATGACATTACTTCCGCTCAAGTTCACTTCATCGCTGTACAGAAAACGAAACAACTCTAAGAGACTCTCATAATCACAGTCAGGCAATTGAATAGTAGCTGCAGTCTCCGCCATTTCACCGTAGAACATGGCATAGAAAACAGGACTGCTGATTGCCAGTATAAACTTGTGAGCTGGAATGCACTTTTGACTCTTCCTCCTTTTACTTTCGTTATGCGGGGCAGGAACTACGAACTTCACATCACTTAATAATTCGTTATTGAAAACAAATTTGGTTCTCTCGCTGATAGTTGAACGTTTTGTCTGCCAGTTATCATCAAGTGTAGCCATTGCAGCGATTGCAACTTTCTGATTACAAGGTATACGAAGTTTTCTCTCTCGTCAACCTCAAGTACGCTACGTTTCTCCATCTAGTACCCAGGGTCTTCTCGGCTTTGGCACAGGTCACCCATTCTTTGTTTGAATTACAGCAAGTGTATCGGTGGGGCTCTAGCGGGCCTGGCGTTATCACTAGCGTTTAGATATTGTAGATGTAGCCACTGAGGAGGCTCCTGAACTCCGGAAGTGCAAGCATTGTGGCCACGTAGAAGCGGAACAACCCGGCTGCATTATGATTTTCAAGAGGTGCGCAGTGGAGTCTAACGATTGGCGAGATGCGAGCGCTAAACATAAATGTTTTAACTTCTGTGAGAACTGCTGCAGCTGCCGTGTCTCAAGAGCAACAAAGCGCCTGCAGGCAGGATGGAACACCAGAATTCTTCCAAGATGAGAATCCACCGCTGTTTGTCGACGCATCTGTACGGTACACAGAAAGCCGGCTAGATCACTGGTTCCTCGCTAACGATCGCCGGTACATCTGTCACGGTGGTTGGATGGTTTGTTGGTCCAGC